CATATACATATACATATACATATACATATACATATACATATACATATACATATACATATACATATACATATACATATACATATACATATATATATATATACATACAAACAAAATATGATAAAATGTGAAGGAAATAATTACCAAGGTCATCAGAGAAGAAAGAGGTTGCCGGAGAGGGGGGAGGTCGTCGGGTCGTAAAAATCGTCAATGGGAGAGAAGAAGGGGTTGTCTTAGGTGAGCAGAAATGAGTTCTATATATGTTTCTAGGTTTAAAAACACGATTAAACTTTTCAAAGATAGATCACCGACGGATCCGTCCACCGGTAATTTTAAAAAATATTTTCCATTTAAACAATTTCAACTCCCACTATTTTTTCACGAATTGAAACTACTAGCAGAATATTCCGCCACTGATCCATGATGACAGAATATTCTATCACTAATCTGTCGTTGATTCATTATTTTTTTAATTTATTATTGTTGTTAGTATCAAAAACCAATAAGATCCATTAAATCCCACCAAGACCCATTACAAACCCACTAAAATAACTAAAGCTCAATAAGACCCTTTAAAGTCCAATAAGACCCATTAAACCTAACTAAGACCCATTAAAGCCCATTAAGACCCTTTAAAGCCCATTAAGACCCTTTAAAACCCAATGAGACCCAGTAAAGTTTAATAGATCCCATTAAAGCCCACTAAAAGCCCATAAAGACCCATTAAAATCTACTAAGACCCCTTACAACCTACTAAAACCTCTTACAACCCATAAAGCCCAATAAGAGGCATTAAAGTCCAATAAAAACTTATTAAATCCTGTTGATCCTCTCTCTCAGTGATTTGATGATAATCCCTTTTTCCTTTCGATGTATTTTAGTTTCTGTATTTTCAGTTCCAGCGATCAATACACTGAGTGTGTTCAGTGATCGCTGAAGAACTCACTTTGTAAATCATTCAGAGACAACAATACTTCAAGAAAACAACACTCACACCAAAGATCCTTCAGCAAACGTCGAAGACTGAAACTGAAGATTAGAGATTGGCGCGTACGTGATCTGAAGCGGTATTCAGTGATTACAAGCCTTTCTAACTATGTGTGAAGACTGCTCTAGCTTCAGCGAATGATGATGAGACCTTCAGGTCATTCCAGCATTCAGCGATCAAAGGAAGCTTGCTTAGCNGATTCAGTAGCTTCTGAAGATGGAGAAGCTCTGGCAGTTAAAGTGTGTTGCTGATCAGAAKCYCCCCGCACCGATTCACCCCTCTCAATTACATTTTCTCTCAGCTCACAACCCTGTTCAGTTTTTATAAAATGTTGGTTATAAACAAGAATAATTTGATCATTAATTAATATTAAATTATAAATTTTAAGGTGATCAAGGGTTGGCATCCCTTCTTATACCATCTTTTACCTGGAATCATATTAAAAACTAGAGTTGTTCATCGGTTGACATTCATTGGATGTCAGGGTAGCTGTACTGATCCAATCATCCATTGGGTCTTAGATTTTACCAACTGACCAGATAATATTTGGATAATCGATCCAATCCAATCCAATGGATGATTGGATCGGTTCGGTTCCATTCATTGGATACTTTTATTGGATATCCAAAGGATGATCTCTCGGGACTGGATCCATCTAGTGTGTTAATTCAATCCAATTCTCCAACAATGATACAAACTGATTAATCACTTTTAATATGTGTTAAAACAACACAAAGAAAGTTAAAAATTCAACGTCTCACATAAAAAAATCCTGATTTAAGCAATTTGAAAATACATTAATTGGATGATAATTGGATAATGATTGGATGGTCATCGGATGATTAATTGGATGGGTAATTGGATGTTGATTGGTTCGGTTTTAGTCGGGTCTGGACTACCATTCGAGAACCGATCAGTCCAAATTGGATGTTGAAATTTTCAATCGGATCCGATCCAATTACAATTGGATATCCATTATGATCGGTCAGTTCCAATTGGATCGGTTGATTTTCTATTAAAAACTATCCATGTAAACATAAGTCTAAATCAAGAATGAGTTGGTAGTTGGTTTGTCATATAAACTGAAGCATGGAAAATATCAAATTCCAAGCTGCTATTTTTGTTTGTTTGTTTACATTCTAAAAACACCGAATCGGGTGGGTTGAGAGGGCCGGTTCTGCGAAGCTGAGATGCAGAGTCCGAGGATTTTGCGAGTGTCGGCAGGATCAATAATGCCATCATCCCATAGTCTTGCTGTCGAATAATACGCACTGCTTTCTTTATCGTATGCCTCCACATATTTGGCCTTGCTTTTCTCTTCGTCTTCCTTTGACCACTGTAAGTTAAAATAAACATCCATCCTTTTAGTTGCATTCAAGTCGTACAACAAACTCGATCAATCCTTCTCTCAAAACACTCGTTACCTGGATTCCCTCTTTTTGTTTCTTGTTCTTTTCTATCTCGGACATCACCCCAGCCGCCTGTAAACCAACCAATATTACTTGCATAAAAGGATGAAATAAAGAAACACATTGTCATATACGTGTTTGTGTGTGTGTGGGCGGATCAAATAAAATGCGTCTAGAAGTTAGAAACCATGAAAACCATTTTGTACGTGTTGTTTCATCTAATGTGAACATGCGATGTTATACAGTGTTGTTTCATAGATGAAACATCGAGAAATGTCGTGTGTGAAAAAAACACAAAAACACGTCTACATATGAACCACTCATGCTCGCACACGAAAACAGAACATGTGAAACAATATGAATCATAGCTTAAAAGCAAACTTGTTGGATTGTTTTGGTTGATTTTCACGGGGTTGATTTTCAAATATGTTGTTTCATCTATGAAACAATACACGATACTAGTTTTCAAGGTTTGTAACATTTAGCCGGTTTCTATTTGATGTTGGGTCTATATATATATGTATCTATGCATACCCTTTCAACAAAGGACAAATAAGAATGAAATATACCATTATGAAAACTTTAATTGACATGTGAATACAGGATAAAGAGTAAAAAAGGCGTAGAACAGATGGTACCTGAGCACCACCCATAACTCCTATTCTCGCATTTGGCCAAAAGAACATGAAGTTTGGACTGTAAGCACGCCCACACATTGCATAATTTCCAGCACCAAAGCTTCCACCAACAACAATAGTAATTTTCGGTACCTGTTTATAAGTACACACACAAAAATGATGCACAGTTGCTCTTCGAGTCATATCAGATCAAAACCTCAACCTTAGTTTATCTCTTTGCAGGATGTTGAATTAATTTTTGAACCAAAATCAAACAAAATCTCCAAAGGGAACTTCAAATCCATAGGACATCTAAAAAACTGAGTATTAAATATTTGCCACGAAGAAGAAGGGTATATGTGATCTATAGAATATTGAGAAAACAAACCAACCTTTGCACAAGAAACAGCCATCACCATCTTTGCTCCAGCTTTTGCTATACCACTGGCCTCTGATTTTGATCCAACCTATCATACCAACAAATATTCATATCATTCGCCATCAACGACATAACATGCTCAAACGTTCATAATGTACCAACAAAGCCCCAAGTCATGCAATTAAGATATGACGGCCGAATGAGATACATGAATAAATGATACCTGTTTATCCTAAAAAATCTATAAAGACAATTCTGCAACCTATACATGCAATGGAACTTCTAAAGATGAGTATTTGGGACAAGTCAGATGACATACCATGAATCCTGTAATATTTTGAAGGAACACCAAAGGAATATTACGTTGACAGCATAACTCGATAAAGTGGGATCCTTTAAGAGCAGATTCGTTAAATAATATCCCGTTGTTTCCAATGATTCCAACAGGCTGTCCAAGAATTCTAGCAAAGCCTGTTACAAGGGTCTGCAAAATGCAAAGGGGGTTAGTAAAAGGAATAGTATCCTAACAAAAACTAATTTAAGTAAATGATCAAAGTGATAAACTTTTGCCCTCACAGTGCCATACAATTGTTTGAATTCATCGAATTCACTTCCATCAACTATGCGAGCAATAATTGATCGAATATCAAATGACTGCTTCAGATCAGTCGGCGCGATTAGACGGAGCTCCTTAACATCATAGAGTGGCTCTTTGTAATCAGAAATTATGCCTCTCAAACCATCCATCATCCCTTCATTCCCAGCCATGTGCAAGTTCTTGACAATATTCCTTCCTATAGAGAGTGCATGCAGTTCATCTGCGAGTATGATAGGCAAAATGTAGAATTAGAAAGATTTGTAGCATGAAATAAATAATTACTCTAGGAAGCAGGCAATTACATGTAACACCTTTTTAATACACCTTGTACCAGAACTTGAAGGTATAGGGAGAGGAAACAAGAGGTTTCCATATTGGTTCCCATGTTTGCATGTCCATATCAGTTCCGGCCCGCTATCATTCTCGAGGCCTTATGATATGAACAGCAGCACAACGCCAACTCCAATGTAGTCACTTAAGTGAAGGATATGCAGAGCTTCCATGTTGAACATAACTAACAACTTCTTTCTATTAATTAATGCACTACACATCTACATTTGTAGCTCAATATTTCAAGCAAGTCTGAAACCAAGTAGGGTGGTTTTGGATGGATTCAAGGTAGCAAAAGACATAAAAAAATTATGAAAAATAAAATAAAACAAATACAGCAAGACAGCATAGTGGCAGAAAATAGAACAAATACAACCTATTCAGAGATGCATTTAACCGTTCTTAGCAACTAAACCAATTTCAGATAATTTGAAGTTGACGTGGAATTGGATTAAGTAATGGAATGTAAATTAGAACATTCATTCTGAATCTAATAAAGATATTAACCATGTTTTCAATCAAGTTTATCATAACATACAGGCTTGGTGTCACTGTAATGAGCCTAGTGGCAACTCATGAAGATGAAGGTACCAGAAGTCAACATAAAGCTGGTGGTATATTATTTTAGTTTAAGCAGTATCTCTATATTTTGATGATGAATATACCATACATAAAAAAAATTACCTTGTGCGAAATAGTCTGAAACACCTGATATCTTGCAATGTACATCTGCACCCCCTAAATCTTCAGAAGATACTTCCTCCCCTGTAGCAGCCTGAAAACTATTCATTTTAGATTCAAGTGCACAGGCCCGCATGAAAACAAGCCATGACACAGATTGTATAACGACGAAAAATACATATATACCGCAAGAGTAACAGAGAGTAACCATACAACGTGTGTCACAAAAACAGAAGGACCTGAACAAACCTTCACGAGTGGTGGTCCTGCTAGGAATATGGTACCGTTTCCTTTGACCATGACGCTTTCATCAGCCATTGCGGGTATGTAGGCCCCACCTGCTGTGCAAGAACCCAATACCAATGCAATTTGAGGAATACCTTCTGAAGACATGACGGCCTGGTTATAGAAAATTCTACCAAAATTCTCTTTGTCAGGAAAAACCTCAGCCTGTTTTGGAAGAAAAGCACCACCACTGTCAACAAGATATATGCATGGTAGTTTGCATTGAGCTGCAATCTCCTGAGCTCGGAGATGTTTTTTAACAGTAATTGGATAGTATGTTCCTCCTTTGACTGTTGCATCATTTGCAATAAACATACAAAGCCTTCCATGCACTGGTCCTATCCCAGTGACAATACCGCCACAAGGAAGAGGTTCTTCATAAAGCTCGTGGCCTGCAAGCTTGAATGAAATATAAAAAAGAAAAAAACAGAAGATCAAGAAACAAAGCTTATGAAAGATTGTTGCTTATCCTATTATTCCAGTGAAATTATTTGAAACTTACATTTTCTGGGTATTCAGTTAGCATCATCATAAATTATAAAATACTTATTGGTAAAAGCTACATTATTGTTTATTCTAATCTGCTGTATTGGGATAAGATACTACCATGATATAATCTAGGTTCAGAGTGCTGAACATACAAATGAGTTCAATGAGAAGACTTGTAAGTGGGACAGTCTGAACTACCTTTTAATGACCCACGGGTGCTTGTGGGTTAATTTTAGGATCTGTTTATCAGGTAGATTTCTGGATCTATGTATGAACGGGTAGTCGGGTAGGTAGTTTGCCTCCTATAATAGAATAAACAAGTGCAACGCTGCTGGGCTCTCACCATCCAAAGAGTTACCTTAGCATCCCCCACTTCTAAGTATCAGTCTTCACAAAATTACATCCAAGAATTCAGACAATGTCCATGTGTACATCAACATGTTTGATCCTATTGCATAACCTGACTCTTATGTAAGCAATTAGATATAAGGATAGGATTTTGTCCTGAGAGAGTCCCTTGGACTAAGGGTATGTTTGTTAGCAACTAATGGGACTCGCAGCTTATTCGGCCAAAACACATGACTGTTAATCCGTGCACTCAGCTTTATCCCTATGGATTTAATGAAAAAACCAACAAACAACCCCTGAGTTAACCAACCCCCCAGCATATATTTATTTCTATCACTATAAAGCAATTTATAAATGAACAAAAGAAGAAGAAGAATTAGTTTCTAACCTGGGAAAGCTCAAGAAACGAAGAAGATGAATCAAGTAAGTAATCGATTCTCTCCCTTGGAAGTAGTTTGTTCCTACTTTTATGCCTCTTTATAGCTGCTGCTCCTCCTCCTTCTGTAACCTTTTTGTACAAGGAATACAAAATCGTTACTTCCTTTCTAATAAAATTCGCATGAAGTCATAACTCTATATGTACCAATTCAAATCGATATCCCAAATCCTGTATTTTGAAAAACCAAATATGTAATTGCCCAAGCGTACATTTAAATATATCAAAAGCATTTAAATTCACGATGATCGAAAACTTGCTATGGCAGCCTTTTCATCCTCGATTTGCTAGAAATTACACAGCTAATTTGCATCGAGGAGGAAAGAAAAGAACCTGATGGATACGAGAGTGAAGTTGAGAAATAAGGGACTCCATTTCAGTAGAGTTTCGAATAAATGAATCGGAGGCCCGGTCAACACCATCGCGGAGGACATTATGCCCTTGTGACTGGGAGCTGAAATCCCGAATGCTCGAAGACGACATCATACTGATGGCTCTGATTGATGAAGGCCATCGACATGGCGACGATATGGAGGTCGATTTTGCACTTCTTAGTAAGAACCCTAACATTTTCTTTCTCTACTCCATGTTGGGTGATTGAAGACGACGAATATATATATGCGGGCAGGTATGCAAGATAAGCACAAGCAGGACTCGTGATGAGTTGGCTTTGCATTCCTGCTGGTCTGTAACTCATATCCTGTTATCGATACGTATCCAATTCCAAAGAAAACATACAAATACACACACACTTACAGTGTATATCGATGTCAAATCGATAATTAAAAAAATTTGAAAAAATTAAATTATTTTAATATATAATAAGTTAATAAGAATTTTATATAAAAACATAAGTTATTTCAAATAAACAATCTCAAACACCCCTAACAAAAAAACATGTGATTATAATTTACCTTCCTCTGAGTTTTATTTATTTTTTATTTTTTTTTGAATAAAAAAATTGAAAGGAGAGGGGTTAGGTTTTTAAATTTAATAAATATTCTTGTAACAACTTACTTAATTGCACCTATTAAATCATTAATTTAAAGGTTGAAAATGTGATTTTTAGGGTTTTTTTAATTTGTTTAGGATTTTCTCTGTATATTTTAATTGATTTCAAACGAAAAAGTGATCGATTTTATGAGAATACCAAAAGAAATCTTATCCATCCATTTAGTTTGATGATTGTTATTTTTCTAAAATTTAATAAGCATTGATGGTTAAAAGAGGAAGAAAAAATGGTTAACTAGTTATCGAAATCGAAAAATTAATGGATTAAGCCATTTCCATGGTTATCTGTTTTGAACAGATTAAGCCAACATAAAGAAACAAAAATGGTTTTATAACTATCACAACCGAAAATCAATAGATCAAACTATTTCTATGATTACTTATTTTAAGATGGATTAGAACGGTACTTGCGCAATGCAGCGAGATACATCTTGATTTTAATATTTTATTTTATTTTTTTATCTCAGTAGATGTTATAATATGATGTTATGTGATTTTGAAAAGACGATGATATTTTTATTTTTGAATAAAATATAAAATTTAATATATCATAAAAATTTGATAAAAATGTATCGATATTACTATTAGTATCAAATTAACTATTTAAAATTTTTATTTTTTTTTTGTAATTTTTTAATTCAATTTTTTTATTATAATTTAATTTAGGTTCGATAAGGAAGTAATTTATATTTGGTTTAATAATATAATTTTTTTATAAAGATAATAATTAATTATTTTCTTAGAACTCGATAATTATTCTATTATATTTTAGAATTTTTATATTTTAAAATGAGATGTTTATCCTCTATTTGATTATGTTTATCCACAGTTAGTTACACGAATTTAAACATAAAACTTTAATAAGTTGTACTTATGCATAATTTAATTGTAATCTTGAATTTTAAGTAATACGCATCAATATACAGTACTTCATACATAAAAAATGGTTTTTAATTTTTTTTGTCAAATATAATATGGATTAATTTTTCATGATTATCTTCAGATAACTTCTACTTTTTCTTGTTAGATTAATTTTAAGACCAGATTTCGTGTTTTAATTTTCGATTTTGCATTATTTTAATTATGTTGATCATCTCTCTCAGTGATTTGATGATAATCCCTTTTTTCCTTTCGATGTATTTTTGTGTTTCTGTACTTTCAGTTCCAGCGATCAATACACTGAGTATGTTCAGTGATCGCTGAAGAACTCGCTTT